CTCTTTTTTATTTTTATTGATAAATCAATGAGAGTTGTTTTTATGTTTATTGATAATTTTGTAATAATTTTTTTGTTAATTCAAAGTTATTTTTATATTTCTTGGTAGTTTTTGTAATGTTGTTTTGTAGTTGCTTCATTGATGTTCATTGTAATAAGCCAGTGTTCGCAAGTACCTTTATGTAGTTGCAACATTTGAAAGATATGTAATCTTCTTACACTATAAGTACTTTAATTTTTTGCTGAGTATTTTTTTATGCTCTCTGTCGATGGTTTATTGTTCTTTCTTATGAGATGTTTTTGTTTGAATTTAAATAATTGTCAGACAATTTTATTATTTAAATTGGATCAATCTTTTTTAGTTTTATTTTTGTTGTTGTTGTTTTTATTCTTAGGTGTTGAAGATTGAAGAAGAAATTGAAAAATGAGTTGAAGAAGAAGAAGAGAGAAGAAAAAACGTGAAAAGAAAAATAGAGAGAGAAGGAATAAAGAGAATAAAATGCAGAAGAGAGATAAATCAGTTATTGATTTTAAATTTTAAATTAATTGTTTTATTTGTAACTTCCTTTTGAGACAATTTTTGAATTCAGTATGTTATGCTGTTTTAATAGAATTTCTTTTTATTAGGCGGTTAGTTATGTCTTTTGGCCATTTATTGGGCCTATTACATTTATTGGGCCTTATTAGGAAATGTGGACGCATAAGACATTTTATTTTATATTAGATGAACATATCAGCTTTCAGTTTGAAAAAAAAAAGAGAGATAATTACACTGTGTACTGACAAAGGCAAGAAATATTGTATATGTACCAATAAAGTATCTTATTTGCGCATTTACGAGATTAGCACCTAAATTATGTCCAACCGTTTCTAAGCATGATTTAAGGAGGTGAGTTTTTTATATGGTAAGTGTTACTGATTTTTTGGGATTTGTAAACTCCTATCACCCACTAACCTTTCTCAGACATCATTGCACACACGCTTTAATTTTCCAAAATTCATCTTATTCACTTCTTCTTCAACAATTGCAAGTTGAAGAAGAATCAATTATTCAACAAATTACTAATCGCTGCACGACATGGAGGTTGCGCCGGCGTCGGGTTGCGTAAGACTAACAGGTCTGACCGCTCGCGTGGACTGTGGCGTTGCTCCTCTACTTCTTGTGACGAGGTATCCTCTCCGGTAGGGCGTGCGGCTGCTCCTAGGCATCTACGGAACACAAAAATTTATGATTGTTTCAGATGGAGTTTTGGTGAGTTTTGAAGCTTTCTGCTGCAACAAAAATACGACTGAAAAAAAATATATACTGCATACGTCTTATTCACTCGTCCAGAAAAAGCTCGAATTCAACAACAAATCGAAGGTCAATAATTCGAGAAATTGCCGTAAGAAAGCTCGCGAAGAAAAGCCCACTGCACAAACTTCTGGCGTCGTCCATAAAAACCCTTCGACAAAGAATCCTCCACGGCGGAATAAATCATCGAGAGAGACAAAGACTCTTATTTCGTTTGATTGATTGTGTTGTGAGATATGTTGTGTTTATATACAATATATTTTTTCAGTATATGTTCTCGTAAGCACAATCGGCAGTCCCATGTGTTCTCTTTATATCTTATGTACATATTATGTATATAATGACAAAATTTGATTTATTTCTGTATATCTGTTGTGTACTTTATTTATGATATTTGTATATAGTCTGTATATAATGAGTATATCTTTTGTATATAAATCACATCATGTATTTTGTATGTGTTAAACCAGAAAATATACTATAAATATACAGAAAAAACACGTGATGTAAATAACACAAAAAGTAAACATAAAAGGATTACGAATAGATAAAATTACTAGGTTTATTTCGTATATTTTTCCGGACTTATATGTAGGTTTATTTCGTATAATTTTTCCGGACTTATATGTTTTCTATATATGTTCTGTATATATTATGTTTTCGTATACAAAAAACACGCGAGGAGTATATAACACATAAGCTAAACTTAAAACGATATCAAAAAGAAAATATTATCATATTTTTTTCGAATATTTTTCTGGGATTGTATGAGCAGAAATTGATTGATTTTACTGAACAATATCCTATTATTAGGATACACTTACCATTTGAACGGTTGATTAACAATCCCTATATTTAAGGATAATGATCTTTGTTTGTTGAGGTAACCGAAATATGACATTATCATAATTAAATTCTATGGATTAGGTAAGTTTGCAATTTAATTAATTCCTTGGTAATGTTGCAATTAATTATAGAACGCTGTGTATGGATAAAAATCTCCCAAAAAAAAATTGAGGAAATTACACACGGTACGATTAGTTTCATTTTTTATTACATAAATATAACAACATGGTAAATATTAGCATATTAACATAATCTAATAATTTTATTTGCAGAAATACCACATAGAGTTCAAATCTGATGCAATCAATATAAGGCGTAATTTAGGAGAAAACCTTATCACATTCCAAATAATTAATTGGTAAGATTTTTTTCTTTCACACCTCGACACTTTTTATCTCTCCCCCTATCTCTTCTTCTCCTTCTTTTCTCTCCCTCTGTTTTTTTTCCTGATCGATGGAAGTCGGCGACAAACGACATAGATGAGAGGACTAAACCATCTCGGCCAACCGGTGAAAGATGGCGACCAACGACTTGATGATAAGCGAAACAATCACCAGGATGAAGGACCAAACTGGCTCGATCCAAAAATCGGTCGTGGAGAAGGCGATCTGAAAATCGGCCGTAGAGAAGGCGAAGAAGAAGAAGAAGACGAAGAGGCTGAAAAGTGTTCGCGATGGGCTGAAAATCGGCCGGTGGTCTCGTCAACGGGAGAAAAGTGTTCGCGATGGGCTGCTCGGAGGCTATCTCATACAAATTTACCCGGCTACGATTTTTTGGATTTTTTGTTTTCTTGTACGATTGAAAATCGATTGATCTTGCGATTTCGAGCTTCGGAAATGGCTTGGGGATCATTAAATCAAGCCATATCTCCACGTAGTTTGCTATTAATTTTAGACGGATTTACCTGGTTACGGTTGTGTTGTATTGTGTTATATGTACAGTATATGATGGGTATATGTACAGTATATGTTAAATATATAATTTTTTCTATCTGTTTTGACGAAAATCTTCTCAGAGGGTAATTGTTGAACACTTGGTGTGCTTGATTTGTTGATAGATAGTTCTATTCTGTACATATTGCGGGTATATGTTGTGGGTATATATAGTATATTTTCAGTATATGTTTCGGTATGACAATATGTATGGTTCGGGTATGAAAATTCTGTACATGATTTACATGTTACCATCAGATATGAAAATTTACACGTTGCGGGTATATACCAAAGTTGTACGACACACATATACATAAAATATACATAGAATATACATAAAATATGCATAAAATACACACTCGAGATTAACGTAATTCAAATCCGCGACACAACATATACATAAAATATACTTTAAATATACACTCGAGTTTCAATCGTTTCTCAAAATCGATTTAGAACCCACATATACATAAAATATACCTAAGATATACACTCGAGATCACGTAAAAATTCTGAATGAAGACCGTCGGTCGACTGATTTTCGAAAAAATTCTGCTCGGCGGCGTGTGTTTCTTTCTTTTCGAAAAAATAGGAAGACATAATTTTTTGATAGAAAACATGTTTTTCATTGCAACATATACTAAAAATATACTAACATAAACCCAATATATACCACTTGACAGCTGCGTGAATTAAGGAATTCAAGTTGCGCGAATTAAGGAATTAAACGAGTCAGTTATTTTCTTTCTCTTAATCATGCCCATAAAAAGGGGGATGGAGGTGGGAAGGATATGGTAACTGACTTTAGGCATTAATATAAATAAATAAGGTCTTTTAGGTATAAACATAATTATTTCAACTTCTATGATAAAGTTGCAATTAATTTAAAATCACATAGCATAAATAAAAATCTCCCAAAAATTAAAGTGCAAATGAAAAAAGGCCAGGCCGTTATGAACAAATGTGTGTGTAAAGTAGGCCCATTTGTGAGCCGAATGATCCTGGAAGGAGAGCAAAGTGGCCCAAGGAGAAAGAAGGAAAGCAGTAGCAGCCTCCTTGATGGTCGGTTAGTTCGAAGAGTCTTGTCGCGGCAGAAGTATTCACCTGCGTGTTACTTAATTACGCAAGTAATTAATTTCATTATTGACGACTATTAAGTTTACTACTACCTACTTTTTTTTAATGTTATTTTAATTTTATCAATAATTAACTAAATAAATGACGTTTTGGATCTTTTGTACATATTTTTCCATTATTATTTTCATCTAACTAATAAATAACTTTTTCATATTCACTCTTCATCTTTTCTCAAAACATCCATTTCTATCATCATTAATAAGGGTTATTATTGGCAAAAAAAAAATTTAATTACTGTGCAATTTTTCAAAACGACACTTATTAAAAATAAGAGGCAGTAATTATTTTCATTTTGTCATCCCTAGAATAGAAGTTTCCTCCAATCTGCAATGGGAACATAAGTAGATTCGCGTAATTCTACGGTTTTGGGGTGTCAGTTGAGCCACATTAAAAGTTGTCGCTCACATGTTATCCCTGCTAGCCATTATGGAGAAATATGATGCCTTATGCTGCTGAGGTTCGGTTTGTTTTTCCGGTTCGGTGAAATATGCACATGAAAGCACTAATTAAAGATTTTGACGCAAACTTGTTGGACGTGATTTTCTGACAATCCTTTTGAGACAACAATGCCTAGGTAGTTTCTGGATTAATTGTTGTAAATTTCTACTTCACTCTTATATTTGTTTCATTTCTTTTTCCTTTTTTCATTTTTAGATTATTATTTTTCATTATTATTAGTTGACCTCCAAATGAACATTTGAAATTTGTTCAACGCTGGTCTTTACATGTGTATTTCAAAGTACAGTGCCTTGGTATTTTAGAGATTGAAACAGAATAGAAAAATAATATCATTTCTTGAATTGGTTTGTGGATACAAAATAGTTATAAAATTATATATCCTCTAGAAAAAATAAGCACACACAGTATAACACAACTGCTAAAACATTTCAAACACAAAATAAATATTTCACATTCCATATTACCACAACAAACCAAAACTCACAAATAACAAGAAACCAATATTGCTCTTCACACACATCAAACACTACCATCTCCTTCCAGACTTTCCCATCAAGCAAATCCAACACTAATAGCCACATGCATCTTATTAATATAAATTACACGTGCACCGCTTTATTCTTTATTATCACAATTATTGGAAAGAGACAGAGATTATATAGTAGTGTTTAATTTCCAATAATTAAGCCAATAATTACTCATCAGCTTTAGAAGCAGCATCATCAGCAGCAGCAGTTGCAGAATCTTGCTCTTCTCCACCATCTTTGCCGTCAAGCTCATCGTATTTGGAGTCGAGGGACGGGAATATCTCACTTATATCATGTGCTATGGCTAAGGCCCTTGCGGCCACGCCAGGCAAAGACATTATCCCCACGAACTCAGGCGAGCTCCCGGCACCAATCGACACGCTCGCAAACCCTCCATTCATAGTAGTCGAAAAGTTGTTGGTATTCCTTTCCATGTTATTGTCGACAGTGTTCCAATTGGCCGAAGCAAACGAACCAGCCGTGCGGATTTCAGCAAACACCTGCAAGTGCACCCATATATATGTATGTATCTACAACTGAGCTTCTTGATTTGTAGTAATTTTATAAGGCAAAATTGCATATTAATACATCACCTTTCGTGTTTTTGCAATTTAATCACCACCTTTACAATTTTTGCTAATCGATGCATAAATGACGGTCCCGTTAAAGAAAGTAAAATTGTAAAAGTGATGATTAAAATTGCAAAAACATGGAATGTGGTGTATTAATATGCAATTTTGCCTAATTTATAATCCTAAGGACAAATAAGAAAGATTTGGATCAATTTTCGGGCAAATTGAAGCCATAGTTTCATTTTACTGATTGATCTAGAAAAATCAAAATTGAGTAATAAAAATAAAAAAATATAGATATGGGAGCATAAAGTAGTTGAGTACTGACGCGGTTTTGCCAGTTCATGCGTGGGGTGTTCCAGCAGAGCATCCAGTCACGATTGGCACCGGCGTTGTTCTGTCCTCTGTAGACGATTGCCTCCTTAGATGGGCCCATGAGGCGGCCCCGGACATGGAGGAACCCGGCCCACTGCCCATTCTGAATAACTTGAGGATAAGGGGAGCGCCACGTGTTGCCCTCCCAAGTGTGGCTGAGGACGAATGAGAGGTTGCCACCTGTCGCGTTGTAGATCATGCCGAGGGTGGAGGTCCCCGTGCCATAGGCCTCCTTGAGGTTGTGCACGAACCGGCTAACGTTGGTGGCTTTCTCCTCGGCGTTCATGTAGAGAAGGGCCACCTCAGCTCGGTTTGTGGCTGTGATTGTCGTCAGGTTCGGGAACACAAGTCTCACCGTCTCGTCAGTCACTGGGTTCCCAAACACGTTGGTTGCCATGTTAGCTGTTTCTTT